TGGCCACAGGAGAGGGACACTGATGTGTCCTGAGGACTCACCATGGGCCAGGAGTGACGCTGGACATCTTCAGTGGCTCAGTGGTGTCTGACTCTTTGTGACCCCAAGGACTGCAGCCCGCCAGGCTCCTCTGTCCATGGGATTTCCCAGGCAAGAACACTGGAGTGGGTTGCCATGTCCTTCTCCAGGGATCTGACCTTCTTCTCCTGCATTTGCAGGCAGATTGTTTACTACTGAGCCACCTGGGAAGCTGACCATCTTATAAACTCATTTACTCCTCACATACCACGGGGGTCAGTGGTCCCACACCCTCGCTTTACAGATAAGGAAGCCAAAGTGCCAAACACATAGCTTGTCCAAGGTCAAAGCAGAAAACCAGAGGCTGGATTCAAATCTAGACTGTCTGGCTCTAGAGGCCAAGCTCTGACCTCCAGGGAAGGCTGGCAGGAAGCAGCACAGGCCTCAGCTAGAGTGTATAGCAGGTAGACCAGCAATCCCTCCACTCAGCTCCGCAGAGGCTTACTGAACACTTAGCGGGGGTGTGCAGTCCTGCCTGGACTGGTAACGCCAAGGACCCCACTGGGACATGGTGAATCACTGCTCACAGCCAGCAGGCAGAGTGAAAAGCAGCCGGGTGGCAGGTCTGGGTGTGCGGGAGCTCCAGCTCCTCCATCGAGGCCCAGCTCCAAGGTCCTTCCCCAGTCAAGGAGCATCTGGACATGCTCTTACTCCAGGATTATCATGCGTGTGTAGAAACAGTTGTGAACTGTTTCCTCAGGGCACTGGGCCTTGCGAGCAGCTTCTGGGAATAGCTACCTTCTGCTGCAGAAGGATAAGTGGGTTCCCACAGCCATTCTCCTGTGTTCAGAATTTCCTCTGAAACCTTTGCTATGCCTGGTGCCAAGATCAGTACAGAGCCCACAGGAGGAGACGACACACACCGGCCGAGTGAGAGGACGTGTGCAAGGGTGGGGAACGCAAAGTGTGTGTTCTCTTCTCCAACACCCTAACATCTACAACCCCAGTGAGAGTAAGAAGGCATCTGCCTTGCGTCCAGCCTGGCATAAACTGACGCGTGTGTTCAGTTGTTCAGACTCTTTGTGAGTCCATGGATTGTATCTCGTCAGGCTCCTCTGTCCACGGGATTCTCCAGGCAAGAATACTGGAGTGGGTTGCCATTACCTTCTCCAGGGGATCTTACCCACCCAAGAATCAAACCCATGTCTCCCATACTGCAGGCGGATTCTTTACCACTGAGCCAGCTAGGAATCCCCCAGCCCTCAAGTGGTGCTCAATATGGTTTTTATCATGCACAGGAAGAGAAGAACTATACTAGAATTAGACCCATCCTTAATGAGGGAAAAGTTATTGTGAGAGTTCACAGTTATGCTTCTAAAAAATGGTACCCCTCACAATGAGCTAGAAGTTTTTTTTCTTGAAAATTATTTTCTCCTGATTTAGTATGAAGTCTTTTAAGTTACAGATATCATCAGAGTCTGCTCTCACAAGTCCCAAAATTATGTCTCATCTGTAATAAAAATAAACACTGGGTTTCAGGTTTCCGATTATTAACAATAAATAAAAGTATTCCCACCTGAGAGAAATGTTTCCCACAAATGTTACATTCAAAAGGTTTCTCACCTAAAACAAAACAAAAGAACAGCGGGTAAAATCATTAGTAATACCTGCACGACAGTTTTCCATTTACAATGTTTAAACTGCCTCCTGTGTTCCACCATTCAAAACAGAGCATAACATACTTCATCATCAGGGTACGAACATGGGGAGCCTCTGTCCTCACCATCTCTCTCACCCTTAGATGACAGGCAGAGATGATGAAAGTGAGATCTATATCTGTGTGTGTGTGTGTGTGTGTGTGTGTGTGTGCGCGCGCGTGCGTGCGTGCTCAGTCATGTCTGACTCTGACCCCCAGGGACTGTAGCCCGCCAGGCTGCTCTGTCCATGGGATTTTCCAGCAAGAATACTGAAGGGGTTGCCATTTTCTCCTCCAGGGGATCTTCCTGATCAAACCCAGGTCTCTTGCATTGGCAGGTGGATTGTTTACCACTGAGCCACCTGGGAAGTCCCAATCTATATTTACTTCTCTCTTAAAAAAAAAGAAAAAGAAATGGCTCTTCAAATTTAAAGCTGTATCGAAATTAAACATATTTATCTGCACTCAAATTATACTTAGGCTTTGGACATAGATTTCTCCTTCAGTCGAAAATCAAATGTGAGTTTTCTTGCTGACCAGCGCAAATCCATCCTTCAGCCTGGCTCCTGCACTGACCACAGGTGAGTCCTAACAGAACCAGGGGGACTCATCCATGTCACATGCGGTATGAACCTGGAACTGCTCCGAACAGAGCAGGGCCTCCTGGGTGTGTGCAGGGAAGAAGCCCCTCCCCACTGCCTCTCAGCCTTGGTTGAAACGTGCTAACAGCAGAAAAGAAGAGTCCACCATGGGACATGTTCCCTTGCTGACTGCTTGGCCCCTCTGATTCTAGTAACTCTGAATGATCACATTTTGGGACAGAACAGATGTAGAGAATGGAACTCTACTACAAAGAAATCACAACGGTTCTGAAGACAGTCTCCAGAAAATGGTCTGTTTAAAAACATACTTCAGGTACTGCCTTTAACCTACAGAAACCCTAATAAACAAACCCTGTGAAGGCCAAGAACCTTTCACTTTCCCCATTCCCCTCAAGTCAAGTGCTTTCATTAAGATCCTTTCTAAAAAATAATACTTCCCCTCCTACTGTGTTGCTGGAGTTGGCGAGCTTTCTGGGCCTCTGCTAAGGTCCTTTTGATCTCTTCCTGAAACTGTTTAATGGCTTCCCCAAGGATGAGGGGGAGCTCCTGAGCACAAGTACAGGTGACCCATGAACCACAAGGTTTTAGCTGTGCAAGTCCACTCTTACGTGGATTTTTTTCAATAGTAACTATATCATGGAGGTTGGCTGAATCTGCAGGTGTGGAGGGACTGGTACATGGAGGACCAACTATAAGTCACACCAGGATCTGACTGCTCAGATGGTCAGCACCCCTAAGCCCTGTGTTGTTCAAGGGCCAACTGTAATTATAATCACATGAATGCTGCATTTTGAACTACATTTATGTCTGAAGCTAAAGAGACAATAGATGATGCTACATTAAAGCCCCCACTATGAGATACGAGTCTGAAAAAAGAGGTTACTAGTCCTAAGAGTCTCAGGTGACCAGGGTTAGTAACCCTACACCAGTGGTTCTCACGACCCCTTCACACTCTTAACAGTTGAGGACCCTAAAGAGCTTTTCCTTATGTGGGCCATATTTGATGGTACAGTCTGTATTAGAAATCAAAACGGAGTGATTTTTGAAAAAGACGACTAGGCATTTTTCATTGGCCACCAGGTGAAGGCCTCATCACACATCCTGCAGCCTTGAGCCGACTCCACTGTACACTTGCCCTGGAGGAGGAAACAGCATCCCGCTAGTCTTCTTGCCTGGAAAATTCCAGGGGCAGAGGAGCCTGGAGAGCTACAGTCCACGGGGCCACAGAGAGTCGACTGGACACGACTGTGAGGGCCTGAGCACTGTACACTTGAGGGGGAAGCAGGAGGGAAGGGCAAGGAGCATCCTACATGAGGGTGCAAACAGTGCTGGCCTCACTGACCCCCTGAAAGGGTTCCCCAAGCCATACTTTGAGAACTGCTGCCCTTCTCAATCTATTTATGTCCCAGGGAGCAACTGTGCCACAGAGCAGTCTGACTGCTATTATCCAAAGACGCTCTTGCAGAATAAAAACAATCCTTGTTTCCTTTTAAAGCTAAAACTGGTAAGTTTCTCAAATAAAAATTATACTGATCTTTAGGCTCCAGAAAATTACAGAATGATCTAAATTAAGCTTTTTCAGGGCAAAATTTAGTCAATGGTACTGTCTTCGTATGGAATAATTTTGAGCAACTGGTAAAAATAATGATAGTATTTTATATTCAAATACAACAAAATTTATAGAAGGCTTTCATAAATATTAATTCAGTCTCAACAATGCAATAAGGGAGTGAACATCTAAGCCAATGGGGAATCAGGAGTGATAACAGGACATCACACCAATAGTCACAATCACACAAGCACCTTGAAAGCAGTTACTTTAGAAGCCTCCTGAACATACTCCTTCTCATGCCTCGAAGATAACTGACAATAACGTGTAATGTGTGCTAGGGTCATCAGGCTTAAGTGCAGAAAAGAAAGTAATATACACGTATTATATTACAGACTGTACAAATATTGCATAACACTTTTTCTAAAGCTTTGGAAAAAATAAATATTTTGGAAAGGGGAAGAGGTATGAGCTAAGGTAATAGAACTTTGAAAATTCAGTGTTCAGATGGAAGAATTTTTCACTTGAAAATACCAAATGGTTAAAGCTGATCCTCATTCACAAATTTACCTCCTGCCTCCCAAATCACAATCTTCAAAATCTAACATTCAAAGAGGGAGGGAACATGTACACCTATGGCTAAGTCATGTTGATGTATGGCAGAAACGAAACCAATATTGTAAAGCAATTCTCCTCCAATTAAAAATAAATAAATTTTAAAAAACACATTAAAAACAAACAAAAAAATCTGACATTCAAATTACTTTCCAAAGCTTTCAGAATTATTCAAACTAAACTACTTTGGTCTGAATTAACCAACATCATGCTTTAAAAAAAAAAATAATATAATTCTGAAGAAAGAACTAAATATTGCTTATCTGTTTTAGAATTAATTTGAAAATCTGAGTGAATCAAAAGAATCTGCCATACTTTGAGATGGAAAGCTTCTGATAGAAAACCACAATTAAAAGATGAAAAGTGCACCATCTTTTTAAAAATGGCTCTATGAAAGCATTTACTAACTTGAGATTATTCTTTAAATATCGCCAAAAACACAAAGCAGAAGATAGCGAACACTCTTTGATTTTGGGGGTAAATATCAATGACATTATCAAGCAACAGCAAAACTTCTTACAAAAACGGGAGCAGGCAGTGGTGTCTGACGGTCTGGTATTATTTCCTTTCCTTCTGCCTGCAGGGACCAAATCAGTGTACCTGTATGAGACCGTCTGTGCAGCTCCAAATTGCTGGGGTGTTTAAAAGGTTTCCCACACAATTCACACGCGTACTGTCTCTGTGACTGTGGCATCTGGGTCTGGTCTTCCAGGGCCTCGGGGTCTTCGGGCCTCTCCATCTCACTCACGCCATTAAAGTTCTCAGAACTGCTGAGTTCCTCACTTTCCTTTTCTTCAGCGCTGGGGCTGTTCACTTTCTCCACAGTGTGTTCCCTGGCAGCTTCCAGCCTCTTGGTTAAACTATTATCAGGTTTTGGTTCAGAGGTTTGCTCTGCAGATTTCTGTGACTTTAGGAAGTTGAGCTTCTTAAGGTGAACGGCCTTCTTGAGCCTCATCTGCCGGGTAGGCTGCTGGCCAGCATGGTCGGACGTGGTGTCTGGGGCATTTTCACCCAAAGGCTGGGCCAGGAAGTTGGAAGGCAGGTGCTGGGAGGACTCCAGGACACAGTCAGTGTGGCTGACCGCACAGGGCTGGCGATCTGCGGCGTGAAGGTCCGCAGAGGTGCTGAAGGTGAAAGGCTGCTCGGTCACGCGCTCATGACTGGGACAGCCAGCGTGTTTATAGTACTGCTTACTGTACAAGTTTCTGAGCTTGTAGTAACAGTTGGGCTGTTTGAAAGGCAGTTCTGTGCAGCTGCCATCGAACGGGTCGGGGGCTTGTTTGGAGGTTTCGGCCGTGGGGGGATGAAGACCAACTGAGGCTGGAGCGTGAGAGTGTGACTCCTCCACGGCCCTGCCCTGCTGGACGCCCGCGGGGCACTCGGGCAGCAAGTGAGGCGGGTAGTTTTCATTGAGGACACAGTTCGTGTCGGGAGTCAGGGTGCTCTGCAGGGAGAAGGTGCCGTGACAGGGCAGGCCTGGAGGCTGGTCGACGGTGGCTGACTTCAAAAAGGTGTGACACAGATTGAGGACGTTCTGAACCTGCAAACACTGGGCTGTGTCCAGCATGACTTGGATGTTGTCCTGGTTAAGATCCAGATGCGACGTGTACATGAAGTCCAGGATCTGCCCGATGCCGCTCACATTCTTAATATCCAAATGAAAAACATCATTCTTCTGGCCTGAAGAGTTCTGAAAAAGGCTCCTGATAAAAGAAAGGATATTTGCTTACAGGGTTAACAATCCATACATTCTGATAGCTTTTTCTTTTAAGTGATATCCATGCTAATGTTCAAAATGACTATCCTTCAATAAATGCTAAGATTAAAAATTAAGTATGCTTTGGAGAATTCCACAGCCAGAGGAGCCTGGCGGGTTAACAGTCCGTGGGGTTACAGAGTCAGACATAACTGAGTGACTAACACTTTCACACTTCTATTTACAATAGCTCGGACACGGAAGCGGGGCTTCCCAGGTGGTGCTAGTGGTAAAGAACCTGCCTAGAATGCGGGAGACACAGGTTCGATCCCTGGGTTGGGAAGATCCCCTGGAGGAGGAAATGGCAACTCACTCCAGTATTCTTGCCTGGAGAATCCCATGGACAGAGGAGCCTGGCAGGCTATAGTCCATAGGGTCACACCGAGTCAGACACAACTAAAGCAAGTTAGCACGGCACAGGACATGGAAGCAACCTAGATGTACATAGGCAGATGAATGGATAAAGAAGTTGTGGTACATATACACAGTAGAATATTACTCAGCTATAAAAAGGAATGCATTTGATTCAGTTCTAATGAGGTGGATGAACCTAGAGCCTATTACAGAGAATGAAGTAAGTCAGAAGGAGAAAGACAAATATTCTGTATTAAAGCACATATACAGAATCTAGAAAGACAGTATCATCAGTGGTACGTGCAGGGCAGCAAAGGAGACACAGACATAAAGAACAGACTTGGGGACACAGTGGGAGGAGGAGAGGGCGGGACGATCTGAGAGAACAGCACTGAGACATATATACTACCATGTGTAAAAATAGACGCCAGCGGGAGTTTGCTGTGTGATGCAGGGAACACGGAGTCGGTGCTCTGTGACAATCTAGAGGGATGAGGCGGGGAGGAAGGAGGGAGACGGGGTTTAGGAGGGAGGGGACACATGCAAGCCTATGGACCATTTATGTTGATGTATGGCAGAGGCCATCACAACACTGTGACGTAATTATCCTCTGGTTAAAATAAATAAATAGGAAAAAATGGTAACAGTTGTCATGCGACATCAATAAGCTCTAGAGATCTGCTACACAACATAGTGTTTATAGTTAACAACACTGTATACCGCACACTTAAAAATGTGTTAGGTGTGCAGATATGTTAGGTGTTCTTACCACAATAAAAAAATGTTAAGTCTGTCAATTCTGAGTCAAGATCCAGGTATGTCTGTGATATTATTGATTCTCAATGTTTTTCAGTATTTTTCTAATCACTCAAAATAAAACATGTCCTTTTTAAAAGCAAAAAAAAAAAAGTATGCCTTTCAATCCTTTAAAAACTTTTTGCAAGCTATTCAATAGAGCAATTTGGATGAACTGAATTTGTATGCTGAATATCCAAACTTCCAAGGAAATCTCAAAGATTTTAAAACATACTCATTATTCTTTTTTTTCAAAATGTAATTATAACTATGCATTATTCATTGCATACAGATAGATTACAGAAAACTAAAGAACACACATTTCAATATTTCATGTTTAGTCTGACAAATTATCTATCTCAAACCATAAACACATACAAAAATACTTCTGTATCTAAGCGTCTTAAAAACATTCGAAAATGAAAATAGCTATAATAAACCAACTCTAGATACAGCCTCTTTAAAACAATTTTTTAAACTCTGTTAATCATGGCCTAACACACATAATGTCAAACACCTGGCTATATGGTTCATACGGTAAATTCAGTGGCACTTTGTATATTCGCATTGTTGTGTAACCACCACCACTACCCATTTCCAGAATCTTTTCATCATCCCAAACAGCAACTCTACCCATTGAACAATAACCCCTATTGTCCCCAACCCCTCAGCCCCTGGCAACCGCCCTTCCACTTTCCGTCTCTGTCAGTCTGACTGATCTAGGTACTTGATGCTTCTCAGCAACCCAATGGTCCATAAACCAGCAGTGAGAGAGCCCTGTAAGTTAATGCAGAGAAAAGGCACCATAAAGCCCAGGCACTTTATTCTGGCTATAAGTTAAGTTCACAGTGAATGAATTTGTCTCAGTATTTGTAAAACTACTGAGTCAGGTAAGTTGCCCTGCAAGTTTGTTAAAGACATTTTATCAAGTAAACTAGCCAATGTATCACAACATCTAGACCTAACTGTCCTGGAAAGACAGAAGAAACAGGCAAAGCCCAGTAGGGGTCCATTTCACACAGGGGCAGAAAGTCCTGCCACCTCAGGGGGTCAACCCAGTATAATATGACTTGCAGCATATATGACAGCTGAGACTTAATTTGATGATTCGGGATTATCAAGGAAAGAGTAAATCCTGTTCCATGTATCATTTACTAGAGTAGTAAAGTAGTATGCATTTTAGGGGGAAAGGTTCTGAAAAAGTGCTTGTGTGTGTGTGTTAGCTGCTCAGTCGTGTCCGACTCTTTGCGACCCCACAGACTGTAGCCAGCCAGGCCTCTTTGTCCTTGGGATTCTCCAAGCAAGAATACTGGAGTGGGTTGCCATTCCCTTCTCCAGATGATCTTCCCAACCCAGGGATTGAATCCTGGTCTCCTACATCACAGGGAGATTCCTTACCTTTTGAGCCATAGAGAAGTCCTGAAAAAGTGCTTTAGGACAGATAAATCCAGTTAACCAGAAAATGTGTGTAGAATACTTAAACGAAATACTATTGCTATTATTGTTTATAAGTAAATCTTTCATTGAAGCAAAAACCATTATAGAAATAAGTAAACTGAGTTCAAACCTGTTTTCTTAGAATAGTAAAATATGAAACAAAAATGAAAATGTTTTAATTAAAAAAAATGGCATATAGGATGTTTTCCCCTCTCAGATTTCTTATCACAGAAATGTTCTTACCAGAAACTCTATTCCTCAATCTTTTTCCCTGGAAAGCATAAGAAATGTATACAGAAGTCTGATATTAATTACAACTCAAACATCAAAGACAAAGTGCCAAATTACTTTCATGGCCCTAAATATATTTTAGTTAAAAAGACTCTTTCCCGCTCGTGTGTGCATGTGCTCAGTCACTTCAGTCGTGTCCGACTCTTTGTGACCCCACAGACTGCAGCCCAGCAGGCTCCTCTGTCCATGGGAGTCTCCAGGCAAAAATACTCGAGTGGGTTGCCACTTCCTCCTCCAGGGGATCTTCCCGCTCAGGTTACTCTAAACACAAAAGCAAAAAAAGCCCACAGTGTGCTACAAAAGATAAGGAGAATGAAATCTGAGGAGAAAATAAAATTTAGACAAAAGATCTCCATTCCAGAAAAGCTTTCTCTCTGTACAATTAGAACAGTCTAAAACACGTACCTAAAGTACTGGCTGAAAGCTGCTAGAACGTTCTTATGGGCTTTAAAGCAGACTCCTTTCACCACCAACATACAGTCGCAGAGCAGGCCTTGAATCCGCTGCTCGTGCAGCTGCTGGAGAAGGTGGCAGCTGTGGGCAGCAACTGGGTCCATGCTCCACCATCCAGGAGACCTAGGACAAAGGGCGCCGATAAGCAGTGATCCTTGATGCCGCGACTGGACGCTAAAGGGCACCCAAACCGACCAACTGATCTGTGCTTCACTGTCATGACGTCCTGTGCAACACGGACGCAGAAAGGCGAGCACTATGTCAGATGGTGCGCTGCGGTCCCCAGTGCCGAATCCTCAAGGGCGCTAAACGCCCAAAAGACCGAGTGATCGGTTACCTACCCTGTCCCACTGGTTGCCTGAAAAGAAAAGCCTTCTTGGTTTATCATTATTATTAGCTATCATTTACTGACTACTTACTACAGACCGGGCACTGTGCTAGGAATATTCCAGCCATTAACTTGAAATAATGCTACAAGAATGCTTTGATCACCATTTTACAAGCGAGGAAATTAAGGAGTGAGGCGTTAAAGTAACATGGCCATGATCAGAAAACTGTTATATTCCAAAGCCAGGACTTAAACCCTGGTTCCTAAACCCCGAAGTCCATGCTCCTATGCCCATGAGAAAAGGGACAGGAAAAACACAACACAGAAGCTTCCTCCAAAGACTTAAGTGTTAAAATACAGCAAATATCCTGAATCTATATCACACATTCTCTGATTATACAGAAGTGACATGCAAAGTTATTCCACAATTTGACTATAAAAACTGTAACTATTGTATGTTACTTAGCATAGTTCTCTAACCACTTCATGATATCCATCCTGTACCTTCTCAAGTATGATTATAAAAAGCTCCAGAAAGAGAATTTGCATCTTACATTTTTTATGTGTCTTACAAATAACCACCACGAATCATAATACATCATATACCTCATAAGGATAATCATGATATTTATCCAATGTTTCCTTTACATCAGGCACTATTCTACACATATGTAGAATAGTGTAAGCCCTCTACACATATGAACTCATTCGGGTCTCAGAATAGCTGTGAGATAGATACCACGTACCATTAGCTTCACTGTACAGACAGATGAGGACAATGAAGCACATGGCAGATTAAAGATGGCCACAACATCTATGACCCGAGGAGAGGTGGGATCTAGGTCTCCTCTCCTTGACTCAGAGCAGCCTCTATCTCAATCAACAGAACAGGTGAAAGGAAGGGTGTAAAGCTGTGCTCTTTTCCGGGCCGAGGCCTTTGAGCTGACAGTTCCCACCTTCCATCTTCTGGACGATGCCTCTGGGAGGCCTGCGTTGCCAATAGGCCTGTAAGGCGCCCAGCTGGAGCCAGTATATGGGGCAGGAGGAGGGCCCTGTTGAACCCAGCCTTCCTGTCATCCCCTCCCAGGGACCAGACATGGGAGCAAAGTCATGCTGAAGGCTCCAGGCTGGCACCACCGCCAGCTGAACCCCATTCCCCACCCACACCACTGTAGGGCTGAAGAACCACCCGGCAGAGCTCTGCCTGAATTTCTGACTCACAAAACTGTGAGATAAAACAAAAGAGTTTTTAAGGTACCAAGTGTTAGGGTAGTTTGTCACACAGCAAATAGATAACCTGGCCAGAGTTAGAGAGGACCGACATGGCTAATAATAATAGGTTAGCAACAAGGGACAGAGTTGGGATTTAAACCCAGGGAATCTGACTCCAAAGCCCACATGCTTAACTGCTACTCCAAGTTACATGCAATAGCTCAAAGGGCTTCCTTGGAATCCAATCAGCACCCTCTTCAGTCTATTACCAAGGCCTGGCTGTCCAGGTGACCCCACAGACAAGCACCAGAGTAAAGCGCAGCACACAGGAGGACGAGCATGTGCAGCACCGGCTTTGCACTACGACACAAGGAGCACAGGCACGCTCTCTGTCTCTGCGGCGCACTCCCTTTCTGACAAGTAACAAAAACCTACTGTCTTATCAATTAGATATCTTTGGTACCCAGAAGAGTGCCTTGGACATAGTAGGTGCTCAATACATGGTTTTGAGCTGGATGGAGACTCTGGGCCTCAGTGTTTTAATCTGTAAAAACAGAGGGTCCCCTATTGGGTTAGATAATCTCTAAGGTATCTTCCTGTTCTAAATGCCACAAATCTACATCAAGAATGTGATGGTGGACTGAATGGCATCAAAAGGAAGGGAAATATGGGAAAAGAGGAAAAGGAAAATAAGAAAAAGCTTAGATACATGCGAACGAAGAGGTGCTTCTACTGAGAATAAAAACCAGAATGGAATTTTATCCTGTAGCAGACAGCTCCTAGGGCAAAGGCCCTTCGGTTCCATGAGGTGATTGATCAATTGGCCAAACACCATAGGAAAGAATTTGGGAAGTCTGTTCAGTGGGGCCATTGACAGATTACTTCTCCAAAAATCTGAGGTTCACACACACTTCCCTTAGTGTGGTTCTGTCTTCTTCTCTGGTTGTTACGCTTTTCAAGGGGCTTGGTCCCCAGCCCCCTAACCCAACCTTAATGACAAAAGCACTGGCTATGTGCACACAAGCCCAGATTCCTTAGCTCTACAGTGACTCTATGATGCTCTGCAGACCAACTGAGTCAAGCTGATGTTGTGTGCCTAATACGTGCAAGATATCGTGGTGAGGATGGAAAGCTAATAAACTCAGAATGGAAGGTTCCCTGCCCTCCACAGGCTGTGTCTCAGTTTGAGTCACTCACATAACTTCAGAGTACCCACTATATACAAGGCACTGAGGTGAGATGGTAAACAACTCAGATATAGTCATCCTATGCTTTCACGAAGAGTCAGTTCACTGGAAGTAACAAAAATAGGGCTTACTGGAGATATTAAATAGGCAAGGTACAATTAATTTGGGGGACAAGGGTCAGAAGAAAACCTTCTGGAGGAAAGACATCTATGCTGAAACCTGAAGGTTAAGTTTGCCAGAGAAAGAGCAAAGAGAATTCACCCTGAGTTTTCAGGGGGAGCAAATAAACAAAATGCAGAAAAGCACAAACAAGGAAGAGACTCACACATGTGCTCTGCACACAAACCCACCTCGAGTACCCAGCTTTTAAACCTGGGCAACCTGTCACTTCTGTTGGAGAATATTTCCCTCTCTGTCCACCCAGTAAAGTCCTTCTTTTGTGGGCTGAATTGTGTTTCCCTCCAAATCCATATGGTGAAGACCGTATTTGGAGATTGGGCCTTACGTTGGTAATTAAGTTAAAATGGGAAAGTTAGGGTAGATCCTAATCCAATCTGACTCCTGTTCTTATAGAAAAAGAGGAAATCTGGACATTAGACCTCAGGGATGCCACGCACAGAGGCAATATCACCAGAAGGCATGGCCAGAAGGTGTGCGGCTGGGAGCCGAGAAGAGCAGCCTCAGGAGCAACCAAACCTGCTGACACCTTGATCTTGGACTTCTAGCTCCCAAGACTGTGAGGAAAATAGATGTCTGTTGTTCAGGCCCTCCAGGCTATGGTATTTTGCTACTGGAGCCCTTGCATACAACCTCTATTCCACTCCCGACACTGCTCACCTCCAGAGGGAAACCTTCCTTATTACCCCCACATCCGCATCCTAGTCCTAATTTAGCTTCTCACAGTTCTCTGTTCACACCCCGTTCAACCTTCATTTGCTCACCGAAGCCCGACAGTGACCACCACTGCTATGTGCAGGACCTGTCTTAAGGGTTGAATGAAAGTTGCTCAGTTGAGTCCGACTCTTTGCGATCCCACGGACTATACCATGGGAATAGTATGGAATTCTCCAGGCCAGAACACTGGAGTAGGTAGCCTATCCCTTCTCCAGCGGATCTTCCCCACCCAGGGATCGAACCCAGGTCTCCCACATTGCAGGCGGATTCTTTACCAGCTAAGTCACCAGGGAAGCCCAAGAACATTGGAGTGGGTAGCCTATCTCTTTTCCAGCGGATCTTCCCAAGCGGGGTCTTCTGCACTGCAGGTGGATTCTTTACCAACTGAGCTATAGAAGCTGAAGTCAGGGCTCCCACATCTCAGGCAGACTCCTTAGCATTGTGGGCAGACTCTTTATCATCTGAGCCATCAGGGGAGCCCCAAAGTGAAAGTGAAAGTTGCTCAGTCGCCTCTGACTCTTGACGACCCCATGGACTATACAGTCCATGGAATTTCCCAGGCCAGAATACTGGAGTGGACAGCCTTTCCCTTCTCCAGGGGATCTTCCCAACCCAGGGATCGAACCCAGGTCTACCCTCATTGCAGGGGGATTCTTCCCTGAGTCACCAGGGAAGCCCAAGAATACTGGAGTGGGTAGCCTATGCCTTCTCCAGCGGATCTTCCCGATCCCAGGAATTGAACAGGGGTCTCCTGCATTGCAGGCGGATTCTCGACCAACTGAGCTACCAGGGAAGCCCCTTAAGGGTTGAGAAGAGCAGTAAGCACTCTACTGAGTGCTTTGCAGGATATCCTACAATAATCTTATCGAGTTAAGCACGGCAGTGTAACACGCGTTTACAGACGCGGATCCGAGGCACTAAGAGGTCGCACGGCCACGGGACTGCGCTGGGCTATAGAAGCTCTGGGGTCTTCAGCGCTAACTCTCTCAACTTTACACGGCGATGGAGCGAGTCGGGCCGAGGAGAGGGCACCCGCAGCTCACCGCGGGCGGAGCCCTGGGAGGCGGGAGGGGAAAGCGGGTGCGGCGTCCAGGCCGAGGGAGCTGCACACGCCGTGAAGGACGCGCTCCCGAGCCCGGCCTGGTCGTCGCGTCTCCGAGCCGGAGAACCTCACGGCCGCGGGCGGACACGCCCGACCCAGCAGCAGCTTCACGGCCCCTCACGGAGCCAGAGGGATGCGCGGGGCGGCGGCCGGTCCCTGCCCTGCCCTGCCCGGCCCGGCCCTTCGGGCGCCCAGCCCGGGGTTCCGGGCCGTTTCCATCGCCCTCAGACCCGCACGCTCTCCCGAGGCCGGCCTCCCAGTCCGGCAATCCCCACCTTACCCTCAGAGACCGCTCCCCGCCCCGTCGCCTCTTTTTCACCTGCAGCCGCCACCGCCGCCCTCAGCGCTCCAGGTCGGGCTCAGCCGGCAGCGGAACCATCGGGACAACACCGCCCCTTCCACAGCATTGGACCCGGCGGGCTCCGCCCTCTGACTTCCATTTGCGTCACTTCCGCCGGGAGGTGTGGCCGTGGTGCGCAAACGCGCCGGGCGCCTCCGAAGCGAATTCTGCGCGCGGAAGCCCTGGAGGAGGCGCAGGTTATAGTGCCTTGAGGGAAGCAGCGGTTCCACGTGCTCCTCTCGCGGCGGGTTGAAACCGTTGGCGGGCGCTGGCTAAGAGGTAAGGGGCGGTGGCCCAGAGGTCCGACCTGGGAGGCTGGAGTTCAGGCTGTGGGGCGGGGGGTGGGGTGGGGTGGGCACACTGTGGCAGTTGCCTGCGTTTCCACCGTTAGAGAGTCTTTCCTTTGGCTTAAACGCATGGAAGAAAGAAATGCATTCAAGTTTCATTCGTGCTCTGGGGGAAATGGAAGGAGTCCTGAAGTTAGAATGATGGAATAGTCCTGGAGTTAGTTCCTCCGGATTTTAAAATGGAAAAGTCGGTGCCGGGAACCCACGGAGGGGGTTCCAGCCGGGATGGTTGTCTGGTTCCCCCACCGGACTGGGGTGTGCAGGCTTCCTGCATGTTGGGGACGAGCGCTTGTCTTCTTTGAGTCTTGGGGAGCTCGGTCTCCAAGGAGGAGGCCCTTAGGGCATAGTGGTTGAGAGCTCGGGGCTTTAGGGTCGGGAATAGCCACGTTGTGAATCCACGTTTGCCACCAACTGCACGTGTAGCTTGCTGCCAGTTACTGAACCCCTTTGTGCCTGGTCTGTCAAAAGGGGATAATAATGGAACCTAACTCAGAGGACTCTTGTGTATTACAGGAGCTAGGGTTTCGCACATAGTAGATGATCCATCAGTGTCCGGATTTTCTGCAGCCCCTGCCTTTATGGAGAGGTTAGAGGCATAAGGTGGGGTTTGAGTGCTTGCAAGCCTACTATTCTTGCAGCGTGCCTACCTGGGGCTTATTCACACAGTGCCCCCAGTGCCTAACGTAGTGCCTGACGCATTGGCCTCCACAGGTAGTTATTACACCAGTGAATAGATGCTGTTTAAACCACTGCTGTTGATGTACCATGTGGGGAGGGTGTGAGACTGGAACTTGGGGTTTGAGAGACACTGCTCAGCTTCTGCGGGCCTCGGCTCATCTGTCGAGTGGAGATGGATGTACATTCCTTGAGAGTCTTTGCAGAGCAAGGGAGAGATCCTGCCTGACTATACACCCTACAGTCAGGAGCTTCGGCGTGATGCTGTGCAGTGTGTGCTGGTTTGTCTTTCCCTTTCACCATGCCCCTGGTTTCTTGGCGTTTTCCTCTCAGGAGGGGCTTGCCTAGTTGGCCTGATGCATTGTTTCACAGCCTGGAGGACTTAAGTCCCTAGGGGACAGTGACTTGCTTCAGGTCTCAGGGCTCACTGAAGGCTGTTAATAGCTTGGCCCTTCAGGTGGGCAGTTTTGGTGGTGATGGTGTCAGTGGGGTTTAGGTCTGTGTGTGTGTATGTTTGTGAAGGAATTTTTTTTAACAGTTTTTTTTGTTGTTGTTAAAAAAATAGANTGCGGCAGGAGCCCTGACTCGAGTCAGCAATAAACTTCCCTTTTTTCGAGTTGCATTGTCTTGGAGGCCTTCTCTCTTCCCGCTCGGGGATTCGGACATCAGGCATAACAAGAGGAACTTGGCAGGCCACCATCCATGGGGTCCAGAAAGTCAGACACAACTGAGCAACTTACACATTCACTTCACAATCCTAGAACCAATTTGAGTTCGTGTTATCAGGGAATAGGGTGGTAGTGTAGGCACCCAGGGGATGGGGAGCCAGCAGAGACTGGGGTGAGTTTATGAGGATAGATGGATAGATTGAGGGTCATATTTAAAGAAGCAGTGTTTGGCGGGGACTGGGAGCAATATCATTGATGTGCAAATAAATAGACTGCAAGACATTCTCCCATTGAGTAAGGATTTATTTTTCAAATCTGGTATCTTTAACTTTCCACACAATACTGTAAGGTAGCTATTAGAGCCATTTTATAGATAAGCAGATTCTGAGAAGCATAGGTACTTCCAGGTCATTTATGTTTTAATTGGCAGATGCAGACTCTAGCTCAGATCCTCTGGCCCTGAGTCCAGGCCCAGGTCAACAGAAGGTGGCCACCAGCTTGATAAAAGGAGACTGAGGTGCCTGAATTGCTTCACAGGTTCCCAGCTTCTAGAGATGCTGTCTGCTACCCATCAGCTCAGCACTGCTGTTCAATATCCATCATCCTCTGCTGTGACATGGGTGGTCTCCTTGTTCACTGTGGCTTAACTTAAGAATAAAAGACCTTTAGGATCGTAATATTTTTAAATGATCCGTCATGACTTACATGGCACTTAGCTGGGTATATAGGTGTCATGAAAGTCTTAATGCAACAAACATGGTTTTAGCTTTTCTAATTTGTGAAGTCCAAATGTTACCAGTTTACTAAAACATCATTTGAAAATGTGACTGTTTAAATTTCTTTCACATTTATTGAGTCCTGTGAAGTTTGAATGAGTTGTCTTTTGTGTGTAGGAGTGTGAAATGTGAAAGGTAAAATTCAAACGGCTCCATTTTAAGATAATACCGCCATTTTGAGCTGAACTTCCCCGAAGAAGGAGGAAAGACAAAGAAATTCAAACGAGCCAATCAGGAGAGGACAGGAAGTCCCTCACCCCCTTACTCTAACCCACCAATCAGTAGCTAACAAGACATCCTTAGTTAAAGAACTAACCAATCCCTTTAAGCTCCCCGCTTTCCCCACTATATGGTATAAAAATAGATGGCCGCCATCACTCGGGGCTCTGTCGCATGGCCATTAGGTTGTGTGGAGGGAGTCCCTGCTTGAGCTTGTAATAAAGTTCCTCACTGCTTTTGCATCTGTCCTTGGCTCCTGTGGTGTTTGGTGGGATTCCGAGATCCGGGTACAACATTTTGGGGGCTCGTCCGGGATTCCCCGGACCCTCCAGGACCCGCGCTTCGGAGGACAAATGGCCCTTAAGCAGTAGCAGCAGCTGCATCTGTATCTGTAAGGGGGCCCCAATCTGTAGCTGGATTTAAACCTAGGTGGATGCGCCGATAATGGTCTTCAGCAGGGAGCCGGAAGAGACGTCTTCCAGCTCTCACTTAGTCTCGTGTATACATCTGGTACATCTGATATACTCTGTACCTTTTGTTCTCAGAATTGCGCGCTCTGTTATTTGTCTGGTGTGTCGTCTTGTTTGTTCATTGTGTGACTGACTGACGATGGGACAGACCCAATCTGGATGCTCTCCACTTACCTTAATAACTGGCCATTTCAAAGAAGTTAGAGCTCGAGCTCGTAATCTGAGTGTAGAAATTAAGAAATCTTGGATGGTTATCTTTTGCAGTGCTGAATGGCCCAGCTTTAACATAGGCTGGCCTTCTGAAGGGACTTTAGACTTAAAGACTGTTCGGAGAGTCCGAGAAATCATCCTCAGACCTCGAAGCGGACATCCAGACCACGTCCCATATATCCTGGTTTGGGAAGATCTAATAGTCAGCCTAGCCCCTTGGATCCAACCGTTTTTACCTCCACAGGCAGCAGCAGCCATGGAGATCTTAGTGGCTGAAGAAAAGAAAAAGCCTCCGGCTGCCCCCTCTGCCCCTGTTTTACAAGAAGACTTCACTCTTCTTGATCTCCTTATCACACCTCCACCATATTCTCTCCCTGCTCCTATTCAGCCCGAACCCCCACTTCCCCAACCTTCTCCAGAAGCGGCTGGGGGAGGACCTGCAGTGAACACCCGAAATCGTAGGGCCGCCTCCCCCGGGGGGCCTGCCGACTCTACTTCCGCAGCTATCCTTCCTCTTAGGGCTCTGGGTCCCCCTGATCCTGATGGAAATCAGCCCCTTCAATATTGGCCCTTTTCTACTAGTGATTTATACAATTGGAGGACCCAGAACGCCCCATTTTCAGAGAGACCTTAAAGAGCTTATTAACTTGTTAGAAACTGTTCTGTTTACTCATCAACCTACGTGGGACGATTGTCAGCAGCTACTCCAGATATTATTCACCACAGAAGAAAGA